ACCTTCTAGTCTTAGTGTTACCTATATTGTTGAGGCCAATCATGTGATAGGTCTTGTCCATCTGAATAATTTCACTGAATACAGAAACCTGCTTTCTGGTCGTTCTGTCAAGTTGAGACATAGAACTTTGTGCAAATTGCATACTTGATCATCCAATATGCCCCTTATGCATTCTGAATCACTTTTAACGTAGAACTACGAATTTGTGAACTATACTGGGGTGCAAATAAAAAAAAAATGTGTTTCGAAATAGTGTTAGGTTTTGAACGCTTGTAAGATAGTCATTTATAAATGAAATTAAAATACAAATACGTCAATAGATAGGAAATGACTTTACAAATCTGCTGAAATAAATACTTCTCCAATTTTCAATAAAAAAAACTTTTGAAAAATGTACAAATTATAATTTTATCATTTAAAAAATTATATTTTTAGCGTTTCGTAATATTTGAACGGGATCCAAGAGGGATGTAATCTCTCTGAAAATCAGTCAATAGCACTGATTAATACCAGGAATATAACTCTTTCTGTAAAAATTTGTGGTCCTGAGATGGACTGATTGTTCGATATCCACTACGTCGTCCGATACTTTCGATACTTAAAGGATAACTTAGTGCCAAAAACTGCTCGTTGAAGAGGTGAGTCTCCTTTCACCCCATCACTGGTTGTCAAGGTGATCACGCCGTCCGCTGCGAGGAAAATGTTTCTGCACGAAGGCAGAGAGAAGACTTACATCGTTTACCTCTGACTTGTTGCTTGCCACGCCGTCCGAAGCGAGAATGAGCAGAGGGATGACAGCAGCGCTGCTTTATAACTTTTCAGATTCAAGCAGAACGATGTGCAACCAAGTGGCACTCGATTATGACGACTGGGTTTGGGGAAAACGTTTATTTCATGAAAACAGTTGAAACAATTATCGTTTGTACATTTTACAAAAGTTTCTTATAGGAAATTAGAAAAATATTTATTTAAGCAGGTTTGTAGAGTTATGTCCTATCGATTGGTGTATTTGGTTTTTAATTTCACCTACAAATAACAAAGTTTCAAGCGTTAAAAACCTAACACTATTTCACTTCACTAACACTATTTCATTTCACTTTCACTTCTAATTGAAATGACGTCTGTCTGTCTGTCTGTCTGTCTGTCTGTCTGTCTGTCTGTCTGTCTGTCTGTCTGTCTGTCTGTCTGTCTGTCTGTCTGTCTGTCTGTCTGTCTGTCTGTCTGTCTGTCTGTCTGTCTGTCTGTCTGTCTGTCTGTCTGTCTGTCTGTCTGCCTGCCTGCCTGTCTGTCTGTCTGTCTGTCTGTCTGTCTGTCTGTCTGTCTGTCTGTCTGTCTGTCTGTCTGTCTGTCTGTCTGTCTGTCTGTCTGTCTGTCTGTCTGTCTGTCTGTCTGTCTGTCTGTCTGTCTGTCTGTCTGTCTGTCTGTCTGTCTGTCTGTCTGTCTGTCTGTCTGTCTGTCTGTCTGTCTGTCTGTCTGTCTGTCTGTCTGTCTGTCTGTCTGTCTGTCTGTCTGTCTGTCTGTCTGTCTGTCTGTCTGTCTGTCTGTCTGTCTGTCTGTCTGTCTGTCTGTCTGTCTGTCTGTCTGTCTGTCTGTCTGTCTGTCTGTCTGTCTGTCTGTCTGTCTGTCTGTCTGTCTGTCTGTCTGTCTGTCTGTCTGTCTGTCTGTCTGTCTGTCTGTCTGTCTGTCTGTCTGTCTGTCTGTCTGTCTGTCTGTCTGTCTGTCTGTCTGTCTGTCTGTCTGTCTGTCTGTCTGTCTGTCTGTCTGTCTGTCTGTCTGTCTGTCTGTCTGTCTGTCTGTCTGTCTGTCTGTCTGTCTGTCTGTCTGTCTGTCTGTCTGTCTGTCTGTCTGTCTGTCTGTCTGTCTGTCTGTCTGTCTGTCTGTCTGTCTGTCTGTCTGTCTGTCTGTCTGTCTGTCTGTCTGTCTGTCTGTCTGTCTGTCTGTCTGTCTGTCTGTCTGTCTGTCTGTCTGTCTGTCTGTCTGTCTGTCTGTCTGTCTGTCTGTCTGTCTGTCTGTCTGTCTGTCTGTCTGTCTGTCTGTCTGTCTGTCTGTCTGTCTGTCTGTCTGTCTGTCTGTCTGTCTGTCTGTCTGTCTGTCTGTCTGTCATAATCATAATCTGGCGGATAGAATTTCGAATTATCAAAAAGCGGAACTAATTCAGTATATTGTAGGCCAACAATTGAAAAGGTACTATCAACAATTATAAACAAACGTTGATTATTCTTTCCTCGCTAATCGAACGCAAATTTGCAGCATCATCGAATAAGGAAAAGTTTCCCCAACGAAAAGATGGTATTAATTTGCGTAGGCGAGTCTTGAGTCACAAGAAAAAGGGTTCCAAAGTTTTGTTCGCAATAATTGATGTGCTCTTTTCTGTTTTATTTGTTTATTAATTTATTTGATAAGGCTCAATCGAATTAACTTTACAGAGCCGAAGATTCTTGTTCACTATACAATACATCTTAAAACTATAGTCAAAAGGTACAACACAATAAACATCCAATAAGCCTCCTCCTCCATCAGAACTGGAGCCACTTCCATTGGTTTCATTGTATGGCAGTTACGCCAACGAGGGTCAGAGCGCTTCCATTGCAGCAATAGACGCAAAACGTGGTCAGCACTCACACACTTATCACGAAATGGTTGCTTTCCAAAGTCGACGACGCATAGACTGAAAGAACTGCTGATGAAGAACAATGAGGAGGACCACACAATGGTTGCTGCCGAAAAACAGACGATCGCGTGACACACATAAAGAGTGGTTTGATTCTGTCGACAGCCGAGTGAACACTGCTCTTTTCTATTGGTGGTTGTAATTTGCTCGATTGGTTCCGCTATTTGACAGCTCAATTGGTTCCCGAAGTTCTATCCGCCAGACTATGAATATAGTGACTATACTATTTCTTGGATAGATGATGTGTCTTCTTTCAACAGATGAAACTGGCCTGGCCACGTCCTTGCAACTGGTAGGGATGAGAAAGGAATGTTAGCCCGACGTTTACTTAAGAAAGATGCAGAGAACTTTACGACCTCTTTGTTAGTGGGTAGGGTAATCCAAAGGATACGCTCAGCCGGCGTTATTAGCAATCATTGTGTAATGTAATGTTAGCTGGTTTATATATTTAGCCAATGATGCGCTCTGCTACCTAAATCCTCTTAGTTAATATTAAGGTCTTCAGATTTATTTAGTATTTCCTCGAGTCGGTTGCTCCTTTCCCTCTGTTTCAGTTGTTCTAAACTATATACATCTCTTATACATAATAGATGTCCATATAGTCAAAATCTAGTTTGGTTAATGCTGCATGGAATCCGGATGATTCCCGTGTTTGGCATTTTCTGTAAATATGTTTATGTTTATCATATCTTTTTTTAGGTAAAGGGGAAAACTCCCGGGAGTGAAAAACTCACATCACTTTCTCCCTTAGGCAAAAAACCTTCACGTATTTTCAAATATTCAATTCTACATATTCAAATAATCATAAATAAAACCAATATCCTAACAAACAAACACAGTTTGGAAATTATAACTAGTTTGAAATAATAAGATATAAGAAATATTATAAACAATCTGTTACCATGTACTAACTGGTGCATCGTTGGTTTGGGCCATTTAGCGTAATGGGATCTGAAAATATAAACCTTTTTTTTAAATATGTTCAATGTAGTTCTGAAGAAAATCCTTAGCCTTTGATGGAATGCAAAGTTTAGATTCCAGCATTTCCAGATTTCAACGGCATTCAACGTTGAAATCTGGAAATGCTGGAACCCAAGGAAGGAAATGACAAGGATATTCGCTATTCCCCTTTTTTACAACGTAATTATGATCATTAATAATGTTTGTTGTGAAACTATTATTGTGATTGAAAACTAAAAGCTACTTAATATAGCTAAAGTCTGAATATACTACTTGTACTCTTACTGTTGCCATTCTATTTCTAACTACGTAGCTACTAAATTATGAGAAACAGCCTTTGCTCTAACTAGACTTGCTTCTACTCACTTTCTATAAAAAAAAATGGTTTTGGATTTTTGGAATCACTAGATTTTATAATGAAATTTTGTACTTGTTAGATACAAGAATAGGTTGAAAGGCAAGTGTTTGATGCATAAAAACTGTCAAATTTGCTTTCAGATATTCACAATCAGCGATTTTACGACTCGCGAGCGCTCACACTGAGTGAACGCTTACGAATCATAAAATGGCTGATTGTGACACTCTGAAAGCAAAATTGACAGGTTTCATGTGTCAAAAGCATACTTTACAACTTCTTCTGTTAACTTACAAGTATAATAGATCATAAAAACATTCAATGCTTTTATAATTGCGAAAAACCTTTTTTTTATAGCAAGTGAGTGGAAGCAACCCTGGCTCTAACGTGTAAAAAATATTTGGGAAAATGGAATTTTGAAAGTATACCAGATCTATTAAATGATTTTGATGCATATGGTAAGCTTAAGAATCATCTTTTAAATAAAGTTAAGTTAATTCGACTGACTGCTGACTATTAAAACGAGTTTTTTTTAAAACCAAATTTAAATCAGCTCGAAAGAAGCTTCAATGTTCTCAAATTTACGTTAGTTGAAATTTCAGAATAAAGTAATACTAGGTTACTTAAGAGATTTTAGTCTAAAAAGCACATTTTTGACTGATTAAGCTCTTATTCTGCTTCCAATGTTTGTTGGCTATGCAAAACATATTTGAAAACAAAAAAATAGCATTAGTCTGCTTAGTTGAAAATCAATTAAATCTCTACACATAAGAAAAGATTATTTTATTTTCACTGGTACTATCCCTTGGCGCTTGGATGTGTCTGCAAATACTAGTTCAGTACTTGCGGTTACATTTTACCCCAGGGATGCATTATGGACTGTTCATCCCTACACCCTATCACGCGTCCCCATCGTGTATAGCATAAAGCGGCTAAACAGCTACTAAAAAAGAACAATACCCATTTATGATTCTATTTTCAGAATTTCATACATCATCCCACAACAGCTGAGACGAGAGATAGAAAAAAAACAGCAAAATTATCCCATCTTATCTAAGCCATTGGTACTGTTTCGATCTCACTTTTCTCTAAACTATTTGCATTAGTCGCTCCCCAGAGACGAACCATCATCTGAACAATTTCGCAACATATCAGCAGTGCATTTCCCTTTCATGTGTAGGTGGGGATTATTCTAATTTCTGATGGGTAATTTTTCTACACATCATCGAGACGGATTTTATGGGTAGAGAGCGAGAAAAGTGAGAGAGAAGTTTGCTCTGATAGTGAGCAAGAACGATACATATTACTCTTGCTTGGTCATCATCCTTCGAGATAGCCAGAGTCCCTCAAAAAGACCACGGGCGTCGGCATCAGTCAGTTGCGAAAGCGGTTCGAATCAGCGCAGACGGTTCGCATTAACCCGGTGGCAGCTGTAAGAGTCCAGTAATTCAGTCGGGCACGTGCAGCGAGGTTGTTTTGCATATCTTTGACGAGTTTGCGGAAATTAGTTACGTCAACGAAGCAAAGAAAATGGATAATACTCAGATACGGCATCTGTTGGAGCTGTCCAAGGAGGAGAAGAAAGCGTTTTTAAATTCGTTTGATGCCATAATGTCCGACTGTGACGGTGAGAGCAAACTTGATGGCTTGTTTGTTTGTAAAGCCAGTGTGATTTACGAATTGTTACTTCTCAGGTGTGGTGTGGAACTTCACCGGACCGATTCCCGGAGTGGACAGGGCGCTGCAGTTACTGAAGCAAAACGGAAAGAAATTGGCATTCATTTCCAACAACGGTATGCGGACCATGGATGAGTATAGGGAAAAGTTTGAAAAGCTGGGCATTGAACCACAAGAGCACGATATCGTACATCCGGCTTTGACGACAGTCAAGTACCTCAAGTCGGTCAACATGCAGGACGCTGTCTACTGTATAGGGACCGAGGTGTTTAAGGATTATCTGAGAAGCTCCGGCTTTACGGTTCTGGATGGGGTAAGTAATTTTTAGCTTGATTGTTTCGATAGGTTTCAGAAGGACCAACAGTTTAGGGTGCTGTTCGCTTTGATCCATTTTCAAATAACTTTGACGCATCAATTCAGATTGCAAGAAGCTGTCGTCATATTTTACGTATCGTAAAAATTTCAAGAAGAATACAATGAAGACTGTTTTTTTTCTTGCAATATATAATGATGCATCGAAAAAAAAATGGATTTGAATTTATGGAAACACACGAAATTAAATTAAAATATCTTAGGCGTATTATGTGTGCCTTGGAGTTGTTACTTATCTGTTATCTGTTGTATAGTGTTAAGTTTTAAGTCTGGTTGAAGTGAAGATTGTGACAATTTACCGATACAAGCCGCTTCTGCATACTAGAAAAATGCTTGACTATCACGGAGGGCTTTGAAAGGGGGCGTCATTAATGTTTGGAAATTCAATTGCAGTTTTTTGGCTGAAAACCGAAATTCCTTCAATAAAAATGTGTTCACTGTGTTCCGGTAGGCATGAACGAAATTTTAGTTTTGGACGACAAAAATGATCACGCCTTCCTTCGGGAATTAAACCCTTTGGTCTCCGGTTCATGAGTTGATGGGTCGAATGGGTCGATAAGTAGGGCTCAGGTGTGGGAGCTGCCTTCCTGGCGTCGGTAGCATTGGTGCTCAGCACGGAAAACAAGATCGACGGAAAACAAATCAAGGAGAAAAAAAAGAGTCCAGAAATAAATGCTTCATGTTTCCCCCAATTACTAAAATCCAAAGGATTCAGATCAGGAGACGCTGCGGGCCACTCAGATGAGTTGATAAAACATGGTAAATTTTGCCTACACCACTCCTGAAAAATCAGTGCCTTGTGTCCTGGAGCTGAGTCCTGCTGAACACATAACTGAAAATATCATCTTGACACAAGGAAGTTAATGATCTTTCATAACACGTTGCAAGTAGTACTCGTTCTTTATTTTTACGCCCTTATCGATGAACAACAGTGTCAATTTTCCTTTTTTTATATGGCTCCCCAAACCATCACTGACGAGGCACTTTGGTATCGTTCTACAGCTCTTTTATCGGCTGGAGCTCCGCGAAGGTTAGCTCCGTAGACACGATCATTTTGCTTATTTAAAGTTGCCTCCAAAGTAAACAACTTTTCGTTTGAAAAAATAATGTTATGAGCAGCCTAATACAATCAATTGATAAATTGCTGAGCAATGATTTTTCAAACATTGCGTATTTTTCGCTACACGTTTTACCGGAGGCATCGTGTTTGGAGCAGAGCTGGTAAATATCACGGCCGTCATGTGACAATGAGAAAACAGGTCCTCTCACTATCACGAGACGAAACTACCTATCATTGGCTTTCTTGTCATTTTCCAATGATCAAGCACTAATGAGAATAATTCTTATGCGGTTTTGACATCAACATTTCTAACTAATTTAGATAAATTTAAGCAAGAAACGGTATGTAATCGGTAGAGTGATTATATTATTAAGATTCCCTCGAAGAAAATCTCTATCATCGTTTTCTCATCTGATGATAGTGACAGAAGTATTTCTGTAAATATCGCGTGACATCTTTCATTGAAAATGACAATTTGCCAGCCCTGGTTTGGAGTGTTAAGAAAATTTAGAGAGCTTAAAGGCAGTTCCAATAACTTCAGCGATCGAAAAAATCATAATTTTCTAGACTTTCAGAGAAGTTTAATGATATTGTAGAATTAGTTTTTAATAAATTAAGTTCAGCGGTGCCGGTGGTGTAGTGGTAAGCGTGATTACCTCTCACCCCAGCAGGCCCGGGTGCAATCCCAGTCTGCGCCGCAGGGATGTTCTGAGGCATAATATCTTTGATCACGCCTTCATTCGGAAGGGAAGTAAAGCCGTTGGTCCCCGGTTCATGAGTTGATGGGTCAATAGGTAGGATTCAGTTGTGGGAGCTGCCTCCCTGGCATCAGTAGCATTGGTGCTCAGCACGGAAAACATAATCGACGGAAAACAAATCAAGGGAAAAAAATAAGTGCAGATTCATGAACTTTGAAAGGAATCGAGAAATCCACACGAAATCTTAAAGCTGCATTTATAATTCGTTTTAACTTCAGGAAAATATCTGGAATCTTACAGAAATTACGGAAATTTTAGGGAAGTCCATAGAACTCCATTGCATTTGAAAATTTTTATAGCTTCTGAAACTTCACACTTATAGAACTGCAGTTGAGTTACTCCAGAAAAGTTTCAGGATGTTGCAAAAACATGTTACGTTATTTTTCATAATTTCGTTCAAATTTTTGTGGGAACTTCAGGTAGAACCATTGCAGTTTCATTAATTTCATGAAATTAAAAATAAATTTTGAGAAGCTTTCAGTTTTTCAGAATGTTCAGTGAACTTCACAGAAGTGTAGAAAATTTTAACAAAAATTTAGGAGTTTCACAGAAGCTCAAGGACTGCAGAACAGTTTTGAGATCATCAGGGTAGAACAAAGAACCTCAGAGCAATTCTATTAACCTCAGGGAAAGTGCAAATATTTTCCAGGGAAGTTTTGACTGACTCGGGATGTTCCGAGAATTAAAAAAAAAGTGGAAACTTCAGGAAAGATCCATGAACGAAAGGAAAATTGAGGAAACATGAGGTAGGTTTAGTGGTGTATAGGGAAGTACATCAAAGTTCCTTAAACATTGAATGTTAGAAAAAATCAGGAAAATTGCAGGAACTTCCGACAAGGTTGAAGAATATTAAGACAGGTCCATGAACATAAGTAAAATCTTGGGAGCTTTAAAGAAATACTGACAACTTCAGAGAAGTCCTTAGAATTTCAGGGAACACCAAAGAAACTTGAAGAGCTTCCAAAGTCTAGAGAAATTTTCGAAAGCTTAGAGATCTTTATGCTTCTCAAGACAGTTCCGTGAACTTCAAGAAAAATTATGGAATCTCATGGGCTGCTTTATGAATAGCAGAAACATTGTGGAATCTCTAGAGGAGTTCGGAGAACTTAAGGAAATTTCGAGAACGTCAAGTAATTTTCGAGAACTTAAGAAATCTCTCTTAATATTCTTCAGAATCTCTCTTGGGTCCTTGGTCTTTTGTCCGCCAACCATATTATTTCAGGGTTATCATGTGATTTAATGTGTCATGTAAGAGCTTTGGTTGAAGATAAATGTAGCTGCTTACCCCTCCTATCCGATTGCTGTTTCTTATTGATTTACTAAGAGAATGAAACGAGCATGTCGGGATATAACCATGCTTGGCCTACACAGTTTTGGTCACGAACTGCTCATTTGCTAGTAACTTTGCACACAGTTGATGAAATATAGTTATTTTTAAAGCAGTAGATAGAATAGAGTTTAAGATTGTTAAAGATAGGTAACAAAAAATAGATTTTAAGTCTTGTAATAAACTGTATTTGTTTTTGCGTTGTAAAAATGAATTGAGAAATGCTCGCTGCACATCTCGGAATTTAAGTGTAAAATTCATTAGTGTTGATTCAAATGTTAAGATTTGCTTACTTTTTGCATATCTATAGTAAGCCGTGATCCTTCCTAATCTATCAATTACTTTAAAGAAGAAAAAAAAAATCAACAACTGAGTGATCAGTTATTAACAAATAAGCAGTTGATGTGTACAACTGTGCATGCCAAGCATGGATATAATATTGATAATTGGTTTAGCTTATCAAGGTAAAGGTCTGGCCATGGGTTGGCAAAACAATTTTGCGTCTCAGATTTTGATAGCCAACAAAACAAATTGATTGCATTTTATGAATGGCAATCTATGTTTTAAGTAGTTAATTATGTTTAATACCCCGTTCACATTACAGCCTATATCACGTAATATAGGCTGTCTTGCAATGAACACTCATACAAAGGATTTCCAGTGAAAACTAGATGTATGAGTGCTCATTGCAAGACAGCGTATATCACGTGATATACGTTGTAATGTGAACGGGGTATAAGTTTTATGGCGAGCTGATTCCATACTAATTTTACCCCCATATACCAGTGGAGGAAACTGAATTATGTGTACAATCAGTTATAAATCCTTTTATTACAATTATGAGTAACCAGCTATAAGTTTACCATGACAGTACTTAGTACTTATTTTCACAGAAATCAATACATAAGTATTATGAGTGTTTGGATGAGTCATGGTGATGATGAGATGTACAAGATCACTAAAAAAATGCTCAATGCTATGAAGAAGGATTGAAACAAACATTAAAATAATGATAAAAATGAATATCTACAAATATGTTGATAGGTTTTGCACGTTAATGAACTGACCATGTTTTAAAAAAGGAATCAACTCCAAGAGCGCGAGAAACGATTTGCAATCGGATTGATCTGTCTATCAAAAGACTGGTCATGTTTTTAAAAAGGTGGCTCCAAGAGAGGGAAAAATAACTTTTGAGCATTTAATTTGGATTACTCAAATACCGCCAACTTACTTACTTACTTACTTAAGGGTCCTGTGCACCACCAGCGGTGCAAAGGGCCAACGTGAAAGACTTACATCCTGGGCGGCTGCTCGCTTTTGCCTTGACCTTGGCCCAGGTCAGATTCCTATCGACTTGCTTAATTTCCTTATTGAAGCTCCGCCGCCATGAGCCCCTGGGTCTGCCTCTGCTGCGATGTACTGCCGAATTCCAATCCAGCGCTTGCTTGCAGATTTTGTTTCCGCCCCGTCGAAGTGTGTGGCCGACTCACCTCCACTTTCGCTCTGATGACATCGACGATGGAGCTCGGTATTCGAGATGCAGTTGTGAGGCCACCAGGCACAAATTATATACCGCAGGCATCGGTTGATGAAGACCTGCAGCTTTTGAGTGTTCTCCGCTGATACACACCACGTCTCGCTGGCGTATAACAACACAGATTTCACGTTCGAGTTGAAAATTCGGATTTTGGTACGTTGACTTATCTGGTTGGATCTCAATACGTTAAATTGCGTTAAATTGCGCCAACTTTTGATTTAAATGCTGTTTCGAATTTGACTTCCTTTCACCTATGTACATGCAAATAATCATTCCCCAAGAGGAAAAAATCTTCCATTGAGGTTCTTAGTCAGTCTAAGACAAATTACAGGCAAATATAGAGAATGTGAACCAGTGATGGCACTATTGGTCCTCTAATTGGCCATAATGTCTAAAACTTTGAAATTGTCATATAAACCAACTGTTTTCATGACCATTCTTCCAAGTGTTTACATTAGAGTGGGTTTGCCAATGCTCTTTCAATGCTTATTCTGGTCCCCAACAATTGGACAAAATTTGAACGAATTTGGTAATCGATTTGCGGGAGAATTTTGAATTTTGTGTGTGAAAAATCCAAATATTGCTCAAATTACACCAAAACTTGGACTTAGATTGAGAATATTAAACCAAACAATTTTGTCAAAGCGGCAACCCAATATAATGTAAATTCTTGGAAAAATGGTCATGAAAACAAAAAAACGTAACAAAACATTGAGGTACTTTATTAGAAAACTCATAAGGCATCCCCTTGGATCCCCCTATGAATTGTATATTTAACAGTAGAGTAGAAGATGCTGATCAAAATAACGTTGAGATTAGCTGCTTATACTTGCTAACCTGCAAGATACACCCTTTTAGAGTTAGTGTTGAAAATTATAAACACAAATGTAAATTATTTACACGAAGTGATAGCGGTTTCTTCCGTGCAGCAAAAATGTGCATTTTAGGAGCACTTGCAAGTTTGTAAAACAATGAACAAATTAAAAATTCAAACTAATAAGTTATGGTAAAAAAAAACGGTTTTAAGAGGGTACTAGCGTTTGTACTCCATTAACTTCGTCCACTTGAGAGATAGAAAATTGACGTACTGGACAAAGTTTCTTAAAATGACTTCATCTACAATGTTTTCATAGATTTTCATCAACTTCACGAAGCCATCAAAAAGTTTTTTTTTATCTTAGTGTATACCTCCCTTAATCAAAAATGTTTAGCACCTAATTAAAGTACTCCATAAATGAAGAAACATTCTTGAAGACATCAAAATGCTACACTCAATAGTTTCGTCGCAAATAGCCATGTCCCACTATTTTTGATTTCGTCGCACTGTGCAACGGTGCGAAATATAGAAAAACTTGGTTTGAACTTGATTTAGGCCGTATGGTCAATTAAGATAACACTAGTGCCATAACTAGTACACTTCCCCTAGTAGTATGAGCAATGAACGAGTAGCTTTTATTATTAGCATATTTTATTGATAGTGCCAAAGTTAACTCTAACAGTAAAACTCGAAAGATATACTAATGTTTAAAAAAAAGAAAAAAAAATAATAAAAATGTTTAATTTGGAATTACAGGCATACCTCGATATAACGTAGTTGTCATTTATAAGTTTCATCGGTGATTTCTCGCAAACAACAATTCAACCACACAAATTAACATTACGATTAGATAGGGGATTGTCTCACCTGTCCGATAGTACTGTTACTTTGCGTGATTGAATTGTTGCTTGTGAGAAATCGACGATGGAAGTGAAAAGTGACAGTTACGTTATATCGAGGTATACCTGTACTACCAACCTGATACTTGAGCAATTTTTGAATTTTCGACAAGCAACTGAATAGTGTCATTCCGTCCAAGCCTTTTTAACCTTGAGTAAACCACGAGCAATCGGTCCACCCCAACTAGACGTAGTCATACTAAGTTAACATGTTAATACAATGCATTTTCATTTTAGCCATCGAAGCGCCTGCCGGATGATCGTGCTGCCAACGCGGTACGCACATTTACCACCTTCTTCAACGAATCCAACATCGGACCCCGTGTGGGAGCCATCGTCGTCGATATCGACGTTAACATTTCCCTAGCCCATCTCATGAAAGCAAAGTGCTACCTCGACCGCAATCCGGACTGTGTGCTGCTGGTCGGCGCTACAGATTACGTCATACCTCTGGGTGAAAATATGGATGTCATAGGGCCGGGCTACTTCATTGATATCCTGGAAAACGCCACCGGGCGTAAGGCCTTGGTACTGGGCAAACCGGGTCAAGCTTTGGCTGAGTTCATACTGGAACAGTTCAACGTAACCCAGCCGGAGCGGACGCTATTCATCGGAGATATGTGAGTAAAGATAGGCGACGTATTTGCATAAGACGCGTAGCGACAGTCTGATGGTCGGTTTACGGAGAACTGATAACAGTAACGTAGCGCAAACGGGAAGTAGACGATCTCGGTTGTAAATTATCATACCACCTAGAGCCACAATACGTCTATTGTTAAGAAAAATCAAATCAATTCAAATACCTCAATGTAGTACTCAGCTATCAGTTGAATGAATGGCGGAGGCTCGCTTTCAACTGGTTTGCGCTGGATTTTGATTGAAGGAAGATCAAACTGAACGATAATTAGACTAGTCAATTCCAAATTCAGCACTGTATCCAAGTTGGTATTCACGACACAAGCTGATCGCCATATTTTCTCATTCTAGGCTCCCCCAGGACATGGGCTTTGGAACGCGCTGCGGCTTTCAGAAGGTACTGATGCTCAGTGGGGGTACAACCAAAGACATGATGCTCGCACACGAGAAATCCAACGAGCTGCCCAATTACTACGCGGATAGCTTTGCTGATTTTATACAGTTGTTCAAAGATGTTGCGGAATAGGAGGAATCAGGAAACCATTCGTAGATAGTTTTTTTTTTATTGATGAGTATGTCTAGTAAATATCCGTCAAAAGCACAGGAAAGGTAAATGTGATATCACAACTAAAACTAGAACAACTAAATAGGAGCTTCTTAATACCGTACTTTGAATGTTTCATAGATTTTATGTAGCAGTGACCATACTAGAATAGGAAAAATTAGCTTAAATGTGTTAATGTAAAGTGATTGATACTTAGTTTAAAATCATAAATACAAATTATTGTTACAAGAAAATGCAGTATTACTAATTAAAAAATGCCCTAACAAAGCGATCATACACGACATTAGTATGTAGAAAAACAATTGACCAGCAAAATTGAATAGCTCTTTTTCAAATAATTACTACTGGTTCCAGTTGGGAAGGCCACACTGAATGCTGGAAGTGATGGATTCTTTTCTCTGCTGGCTGTTAATATTTTTGGATTGTCAACTTTCTACAAATTATGCCACAAATTACAAGCACGCTTTCAAGACGTCACCATTTGCATCATGTTGATGTTTAGCAGGCGTTGAAAGAAAGAGCAAATTTTCATTACGTCGAAAGTAACAAAGGTAAACAAAGTCGAGCTATCAGTGTCAATCGATGCTCCTGTTATCAGGCTTGCTTCCACTCACTTGCTATAAAAAAATGATTTCCTGAATTTTGAAATCATTAGATGTTATAATGATATTTTGTACTTCCCAGACAACCAGAAAGCACGTATATTCAAAGTTGTTTTCGTGATATACAAACATATATACAAGCAAACAATTCGTATAGAATGCAAAGAAATGGCTTATACGTACAAAAGTGGAGGCCATGTACGTGCATATTTTAATTTAACTTTAAACGAGTTGGTTTAATATCATAAACGATTTAATCTGTAATAACAAATTCATTTTGAAAAGTCTTACGATGTAATCCGATTTAATTTGTGATACAGTACGATGGAAAAATGAGTCATCGCATATTGGTCGGAAATTTACGTTCTATACGATTTCACTTAAACATAATGCGAGGTATGCCATTCTTATATGCGATTTTGACTTAAACGGTAGCAATTTACGATACTGTCTGTACATTGTTATACGACTTCTGGTTGTCTGGGTTGTTAGATACAAGAAGAGGTTGAAAGGCAAGTGTTTGACACATGAAACCTGTCAAATTCGCTTTCAGATAGTCACAATTAGCGATTTTACGACTCGCGAGCACTCACTCTGAGTGAACGCTCACGAATCATAAGATCGCTGATTGTAACACTCTGGTAGCGAAATTTACAGGTTTTATGAGTCAAACACTTGCCTTTCAACCTCTTCTTGTATCTAACAAGTACAAAATATCATTATAATATCCAATGATTTCAAAATTCAGGAAATCATTTTTTTATAGCAAGTGAGTGGAAGCAACCCTGCCTGTTATTACACTATATACTGTCCGAATATAGGATCACATCCCATTTTGAAATTTATTTACCAGTCAAATTGCTTTTTGACGTAATCACCTTCCGATCAAAATAGTTTTCGATGTTACTTAAGTCACCCGATTTCTATGGAGATGCCGTTTGTCTTAAGTAACAGCTCTGAGAAGCCCGTGAAAAGTGTACGTTCGTCGTTTCGCTTTCTCATTATTAAAGTGAATAAATCGAGCTGTTTGTTGCTAAGATGATTTCGGTGGTATTAAAATGATGAATGGGCTGCACGTAAGGAGACGTAATTGATAATTCTCCCGAATATCTTGGTAAATACACTTTGCCTTAAGTAACAATAGGGGCCACCAAACGACGTATAATAACTTTTGACTCAAAAATCAGTATTTTTTAGCATGAAAGCTAGAGATTTGCATTTGTATGAATAAAACCCTGCTAAATATGTTAAACATTGCTATCACTATGAGATTATATGTGTTTAATTGGAAATAGGAATAACTTTTCGGTCATCAAAACAAAACTTTATTTTTCTAGGATTGGTGCGAATGTTACTTACGACATAATGAAAATTTGCTCTTGATGATCTTCTTTCTTGTTTAATTAAAAATGGCCAATAAGTCTGTGTTTGCACTTTTTTTCCAAGGCATCAAAATGCAAGGAAATATTTTGGAAAAATGCAATAAAATCTATTTCAAATGGCTCAATCTGCCTCTCAGAAAATTGGTGAAACAGACTAGTAGCGTGGCTTGGTGGGGGCTAGGGAGCTGTCTCCCCTGGGTTCCATTGTTAGAGGGTGACACCCGAGACTATGTCTATATTCAATTCACATTTGGTAAAACAAAAAGGCATCTTTGTTTGCATAAACAGCATTCTTAATGATTTTTTTTATGAAAATGATTTTTAATAAAAAAAAATTCAATGAATTGCAATTTGGAAATAAATATAGGCTTCAAGATCGCAGAAAATTAGGTATTTTTTTGATGCCAGAAATTGCTAAATTTTAGATAGCCAAGAACGTTACTGAGCTAAAGATCTTTAAGCAGAATTTTGACTAAAAGAAATTCGACATGGGAATTATTTACATAGACAAATTTTAAGAATTTTGCAAAATCTTATATTAAAACCTTTTTTACTCTGAGGCTTGGTTTTTTAGGTAATTTCCACCAAAAATAAAATCTTCATTCTGGAACTTTTAATTTAAAAGAATTTCTAGGAATAGTTCCGAAGGAACTCTCTGTAGAAGCCCTATAGACTTCATAGAAGAATTCTAAGGTAATTCTGGGGAGTTCACCAAAGTCATTGTAAGGATAACTTCTAATAATATCTATGCATTCCTTTTTAAGTAGTTTAAAATAGAATTCTAAGGCAAATTTGAGGATCTTCTGATACCAGGTGAATCCTAGAAAAGAATTCCAAGAAGAATTCGAAGGGAGCTCAGTGAAGCATTAGCATTGTCTCACTTGGTAAAGGCGCAGCTATAAAGCAAGACCATGCTGGGAGCGACTGGGATCGGTTAAGGAATTTTCAGGTTGAAAAATGTCTTGACTACTCTGGGCATAGAGTATGAAAAAATGGTACAGGCGTAGGAAGCATTCTATTAACCCATTATCGCCCAGTGATCTATTTATAGATCAGCATTTTCGTTTCACCGTGTCTTAACAGAAATTGGGAACGTAAATTATATGTTCAATATCACTTTAAGATCCTTGGTATATCCTTAACATCCTGTTTCAAATAGTGTAAGGAAAATCTTGGGGTTACTCCTGGAAAAATCGCGCATTGTCTGGATGCCAAAAATCACTAGGGCGTTAACGGGTTATCAACTCAGGACCACTAGCGTGCACAGGAATCTTGTTAAGGAGGGGCAATTTTTTTATGGTGCATTTAATGTGGGGATGGGGAGTACTCCAAAGTGCGTGAGAGATGGTGCTATCCACCCACCACTGTTTCCCTACTGTTTAATTTAGCTAATTTTATTTATTTTTAGCTCAGGTGGTGGTTAATCTTCTTCAATGCAAACTGCTTTCAGACAGCCAATGAAAATTGGCAATTTAATCGCATCGACGATGATGAACCATCCCAAAGTATCGTCAGTCGGGGTTACAGAAAAAGATGCCGAACATTCAACATGTTTTAAAGATGATATAAAAGACAAACCCGAATTATTGCAACGCACATAAACAGCTGTAACTTTTTAACTGACTTGAAATTTCCAGAGAAGATTCTTAGAAGAATTTTTAGTAAGAAAACAATAGACCAAGGTTCAATGGCAAACTAATACCCACTTTTCAATTAGTGAATCCAACAACTGTATTTAAACTTTGTACAGAACTTTGCGAAAAAGTCCTTCCTCAGAATTCCTTAAGGTTCTATTCGAAATTTTTAGAACTCTATTAGGTCTTTTGAAATTCTTCTCAGTAGTCATTTGGAATTATTTTTAGAACTCTTCTTGACTTTTACTCATAACACTTTGGACTTGAAATTCCTTTGGAGTTTCAGAAGAATTTCCTCCTTATTATCCAGAAATTATTCCCGGAATGAGCTAGAAATTATCGGTACTCCCTTGAAATATTCCTCAAAATTCCTTAGGATTTCACTCAAAATTTAATTTTCTTGGTATTATTTTCGGAATTATCTTGAAACTATCTGCAGGATTCACTAGAAATTATTTGCAGAATTTTCTTGGAATTCTCCCCAGAAATCCTTTGGTACTGTCCTCAGAATTCAATATCCTTGAGATTCTTCTCGGATTTTTTTAGAACTCTCCTAAGAGCTCTTTTGAAATTCTTCTCAGAAGTTCACTGGAATTATACTTAGACACTGACATTTTCAATATAGCTTGCTTCTCCTATCATCAGAATGTTGCAGGTTTTCCACCAAATAAAGCTTGCCCCTATTTTTAGATTTGTTATCATAAATTTTCAGTAAAGCAGCTTCCCTCCAATCATCAGAATGGTGCAAATTTTACACCATAAATTATTATTAAAGTTTGTTTCTCTTTTCAGCAGAAATATGCAAATTTAAGACCAATTTTTTTTTCAAAAAGCTTACCCATCCGTTCACCAGAACGGTGCAGATTTTACACCAGAATTTTTCAATATGGCTTAATTTTATAATAAAGCTTGTGCCTTCATTTACCAAACCAGTGCAAGTTTTCCAATTTCATTTATCAGAGTGATTCAAATTTTGGACCAGAAATTTTCAATAAAGCATGCTCCTCCATTCACCAGAACGGTGCACCAAAAATTGTCAGAGAAGTTTGTTTCTCAATGCACCTTTGTGGTGCAATTTTCAGGCTTTGCCTCTTCATTCACCAGAATGCTGCAAATTGTCTACCATAAATTTTTAATGAAGCTTGCCTTCATCAGAACGATGCAAATTATGCACCAGTAAAATGAATAATCCTTGCTTCTACATTCAGCACAGTGTAGCAAACTTTCCACCAGACATTTTCAGTTAAATGTGCACCTTCAAATTTTTAGCGTGATTCAGTTTTTCCAATTTTCATTTTGATTAGTCCCTCCTTATTTTATATCATAATTATGTAAATATGGAAAAATCTTATTTAAAAAAGGAGGGGCAATTGCCCCCACCTTGCCCCACCCTGTGCACGCCAGTAGTCAGGACGTGCTCAAAGAACAATAAGTTGAGAGCCGGCGTAAAGTCCCTGTAGGCACGTAATTAAGCCAAAAGATGAAAAGACTCCTTTTCTTGCTTACTTCTCACTAGAATTCCATGGA